GTATCTGTTTTTGTAATAATGTTTTTTTTTTTTTGTTCTTGTATTTTTTAAATTCTTTTTTGTGTGTGTCTGTTTTTGTAATATTTTTTTCTTTGTTCTTGTCATTTTAAATTATTTTTTGTCTGTTTTTGTAATAATTTTAGATTATCTTTCTGTTTTCCATTTACTAATGAAAATATTATTATTGATAATAACGATCATATATTAATAATAGTAATGGTAATGATAATGGCAGAAATAATAATAATAATGATAATATGATAAAAAGAAATCAAATAATATTAACCAAATGATAATAACAACCAAATATTAGTAATGATGAATGACGATAATAAGAATAATGATGATAATAATAATAATCATGACAATGATTATAACAATGATGATGTTGATACTATCATTAATGAGATGAAACAAAGAAAAAACAACCATAGAAATAACAGCAACACAAACGCAATGATGGAACATAACCATGCCAATAGCAAAAAAAAAAAAAAAAAAAAAAAAAAAACCTTTATATACAACTTTGTTTTCTTCCCTTTTTTCCTGTCTTTCATTTTCATTTACTTCTTTCTCCTCTATTTATGTTTGCCGGTTCCCTCTTTCCTCTTTTTATTCTATTTTTATCCGTTTAATCCTTCCGTCTTCTCTCTTCCTGACCATCATTCAGACTTCACTTTCTTCCCCATTATTTCCCACACTTCTACCTCCTTCCTTCCTCCACCCCCCCCCCTCTCTCTCTCCATCTCTCATTCTCCCCTCTGTCCCTATTCCCCATTCTCTCCCCACCCCCAGCTCAGAATAGAAAAAAATAACAAACAAACACAGAAACAAGGTAATTCCCTTTCTGGTTAAATTCCTGCAGGCGACAATTTACTCTCCTCCCTCCTCTCCCTTTTTCCCCTTCCCTCCCTCCCTCTCCCTCGTGGGCCATTTCTCTTCTCCTCTTCCTTCCCTTCTGGTCCCTCTGTCCTCCCCTTTCCCCTCTCTCTTTCCTCCCCTCCCTTCAGCCTTCTCCCTCTTCCCTTCCCTTTCTTCCGCCCTTTCCCTCCCCTCCCTTTATCCCCCTTTCCCTATTCCCCTCTCCCCTCCCTCATCCCACATCAACCTTTCTTTGCCATTCTCCCCTTCCTTCCCAATTTCCTTCTCTTCCTCTTTCCCCCCTTCCCTCCTCTTTATCGCCTTCTCTTCCCCTCCCCTTCCTCCCTTCTCCCCCTTCTCTCTTCCTCCCCTCCTTCTCCCGCTTCCCTTCCCTCCCTCTCTTCCTCTTCCTTCCTTCTCCCGCCTTTCCTTCCCTCCCCCTTCCCCTCTCTCCCTCCTCCCCTCCCTTCCCCTCTGCGAGCAACTTAATGAGATCGTTGGTGTGATTTTTTCTTGGCAGGAGGGGAGGGAGGTGGGAGGGAGGGAGGGAGGGAGGGGAGGGGGAGAGAGGGGAAAAGGACGCTGACTTTTGGGTAATATATAGCGCTATTCTGCTTCTCACCTCTCTCTCTCTCTCTCCTTCTCTCTCTCTATATATAATCTATCTCTGTATGTCTGCCTCTCATCTCTATCTCTCCTCCTCTCATTCTCTCTATTCTATCTCTCTGTCTCCTCTTCTGTCTTTCCTCTCTCTCTCTTCCTTCTGTGTTTAGTCTGTGTGTCTACGTGCGTGCGTGCGTGCATAGGTGTGTGTGAGTGAGTGCGTGTGTGAGTGAGTACGTGTGTGTATGTATGTGTGCTTGTTCCAATGTGAGTGAGTGCGTGTGTGTGTGTGAGTGAGTGCGTGCGTGTATGTACGTGTGCTTGTCCCTATGTGAATGAGTGTGTATCCGCGTGAATGACTGCCTCATGCACCCGTGTATATGTGTATGTACATATTGACTACCAGGGTAACGATAATTATTTTTCCTCATCATTTTCCTCATTTTCACCCTCACTCGCGCTATTTTCGTCACCATGGATGACTTCCAGGACATGAGAAAAGAAAAGGAGAATAAGAAAAAGAAAAAGAAGAAGAAGGAGGAGGAGGAGGAGGGAGTAACGAGCCTCTTTCTTCCTCGTCAAGATTGGCGGAGAACGTGGTTAAATTTTTTTTTATCATACGTTCCTATTTTTTTACCATTTTAATTCCCCTGTGTGTGCTTCGTCATGTCACCTAGGGGCCTAGCGGATAATGGAGGGGAGAGAGGGAGAAGGGAAGGGAGGGAGGGAGGGAGGGGGAAGGAGGGAGGGAGGGAAGGAGGGGGAGGGGAAGGGAGGGAGAGGGGAAGGGAGGTAAGGAAGGAGGGGGCACGGGGAGGGAGGGAGAGGGAAAGGGAGGTAGGGAAGGAGGGGAGGGGGGGAAGGATGGAGGAAGGGAGAATAGAGAGAGAGAGAGAAAGGAATGAATGAAAAGAAAGAGTGAATTGAAAAAGTTAAGGAGGAAAGCAAAAAGGGAGGCAGAGGGATGAGACAGAGAGGGAAGGGGAAACGAGAGAGACAGAAGAAAGGAGTGGGAGCAGGAGGAAGAGAAGGAGGAGGGGGGGGGGGGGGGGAGGAAGCGAGGAAGAAACGGAAATCTCGTTAATAAGCATATATTTTTTGTAACTTCATTCTTCTTCACCATAATTTCATTTGATTTTAAATTCATTAATTTTTCCTTCTCATTTCTTTCTCTCGTTTTTATCTTATTTTTTCCCCATTCCTCATTTCTATTTTTCTCTCCCATTTTCATTAATTTTTTCCCCCTCTCTTTTCACTTCTTTTTACCGTTATTTCTCCCCCTTTCTCAATTCTCATTCTTTGTCCCCTTATTTTTTTCTCTATCTTCATTTTCCCTACTCCTCCCTTCTATTTCTCTCTCCGCTTTTCATATATTCTTTCCTTCTCACTTTTCGTTTTTCTTTACAGTTATTTCTCTCCGTTGCTCCTTTCTCCTTCTTTCTCCATTTATCATTTCTCTTAATCTTCACTTCCCTCTATCGTCTTTCGCTTAGGAATATCTTTTATTGCAGCCCTCTCCTTTTTTGTCATTCTCTCCCCTTCTTCTACGTTATTCTTTTCACCCCTTTCGTTATCACAGTGTTATCTCTCTCTTTCGCCTTTCTCTCATTTCTTGCTTTGACCTCCTTTCTTTTCGCTTCTTTATTCTTCCTTTTTGCATATTGTTCATTTCTGACTCTTTTTTGTGTGTAATTTCCTCTCTCTTTTATTCAGTTCCTCTTTTCTTCTATTCTTCTCTCCCACTCTCTCTTTGTTCTTCTTCTTCTTCTCTCTCTCTCTCTCTCTCTCTCTCTCTCTCTCTCTCTCTCTCTCTCTCTCTCCTCCTCTCTCTCTCTCTCTCTCTCTCCTCTCCTCTCTCTCCTCTCTCTTCTCTTCTCTCTCTCTCTCTCTCTCTCTCTCTCTCTCATCTCTCTTCCTCTCTCTCTCCTCCTTCTCCCTCCTCTCCGCCTCCCTCTCCCTCTCCCCTTCCCTCCCTCTCCCTCCTCTCCCTTCCTCCTCCCTCTCCCTTCCCCTTCTCTCTCCCTTCCCTCTCTCTCCCTTCCCCTCTCTCTCCCTTCCTCCACTCCTCTCTCCCTCTCTTCTCCCCTCTCCCTCTTCCCATTCCTCTCTCTCCTCTCTTTCTTCCCCTCTCCTATCCTACTTCCCTCTCCCTCTCTCTCTCTCTCCCCCTCATTTCCTCTCCCTCTCCCTCCCTCCCTACTCCCTCATAATCTTACATCCCTAAGGTGGATCTCATTAGTCCATCAAACCACATTGTTTAATATAATACATGCCTGCCTGCCCTCCCCCCCCCTCCCCCCCCTCCCACCCCGCCGAGGGACAATGGGAGACAACACATACGCATGTTCATATTCATTTGCATAGACGCATTTAGAAGTACACGCACAGGGGGGGGGGGGGGAGGGGAGAAGGGAAGGGGAAGGGGGAGAGGGAGAGGGAAAGGAGGAGGGAGAGAGGGAGGAGGAGGGGGAGAGGGAGAGGAAGGAGGAAGAGGGGAGAGGCGGCCGCAAATGGAAGAGGGAGAGAGAGAGAGGAAGAGAGGGCTGATAGAAGACAAGGAAATAAACTGAGAGAGAAAAGAAAGAAAAAGTAGAGAGAGAGAGGAAGAGAGAGAGAGAGAGAGAGAGAGAGAGAGAGAGCGAGGAGAGAGAGAGAGAGAGAGAGAGAAATAAATAACTAAAGAAGAAAAATAAAGAAAGAGAAATAAACCCTAAACCAGCGAGAGAGCCCGAGAGCCCGAGAGCCCGAGAGAACCGCTGGCTCAAGGGAAAACCTCCATCAGCCGACCAACTCCTCCAACTCTCCCTCTCTCTCTCTCTTTCTCCCCCCCTCTCTCTCTCTCTCTCCCCCCACTCTCTCTTTTCTCCCCCCCACTCTCGCTCTCTCTCTGTCTCTCTATCTCTGTCTCCCCCTCCCCCCTCTCTCTTTCTTTCCCCCCCCCCTCCCCAATCTCTCTCTCTCTCCTTCTCCCTCCCTCTCTCTCTTCTCCCCCTCCTCCCCTCTCGCTCCCTCCCATCCTCCCCCCACTCCCTTACCCATCCCTCCCCCATTGCACCCAACACGCCCGCGCACAACCTTGCAACCTTTCACTGAGGCCACGCGGACCGGGCCAGGACCACCGGGCGGCGCTGTGAACTCGTATTCGGGTGCACCTAAGACAAAAGATGGCGCCAAAAAAAAAAAAGAAAAAAGGAAGACATAAAAAGGAAAACGGACGATAAAAAAGAAGAAAAAAAAAGGAAAAAAAAATAGAGGAAAAAGGAAGAAAAAAAGGAAGACAAAAAAGGAAGCAAAAAAAGAGGAAAAAAGAAGACAAAAAAAGAAGGAAAGAAAAAAAGAAGAGCAAACAAAAACAAAGGAAGACAAAAAAAGGAAGCCAAAAAAAGGAAAGACAAAAAGGAAAGACAGGACGATAAAAAGGGAGACAAAAAAGGAAGCAAAAAAAAAAAGAGGAAAAAAGGAGACAAAAAAAAGAAGGAAAAAAGGAAGACAACAAAAAAGGAAACAAAAAAAGGAAGAACAAAGCAACAACAACA